AATTTACTCCAAAATATATTTTGAATGTATCGTAAAAGATATTTTTACAAACAATTTATATGTTTTGTTTATGTATTTGTTTTACGTAAAAAGTATATATATTTTTATGTATTTAAAAAATACATTTTCGTATAATATGTTATTACATTGCTATGATCCTAAAACATACTTTTACATTTTCATAAAAAATAAGTTTTTTTTTTCACGTAGAAAAAAAAGTTTTTTTATGTATTAATTTTAGGGAAAACTGCAATAAAGTCCCTACATATTGGCCTCATAATCGATTTAGTCCCTATATATATTTTTTATTCAATTAAGTCCCAAATACCGGTAATCGTATTCAATTTAACCCTTTGACCCGGTCAACAGGTCATCCAACTTTCAAAAATTACATTTTTGGCCCAGATTTCAAAATTTATTACATACTTGGTCCAAAATTTACACTTTTGGACATGATTTTCAATTTTGTTACAAATTTGGTCCAAACTTTACCCTTTTTGCCCAAATTTTAGAAGTTTGTTATGAATTCATCATAACTTTAGGTTTTTTACAACTTTTTTTCTCAAAAAAATTGTTTCTAATATGTTTTTTCTTTATAAAATCATATTTATACAAAAAAAAAAACGTATTTTCACATAAAAATCTTATATTTTCTATATAAAAACTTTTTTTAAAAAGTTTTCTGTATATGAAATATCTAGTTATAAAAATATGTATTTATTAAGTATATAAATATATACAAATCCGTTTTTATAAAAAAAATGTATGCAAAAACGAATTTAAAAAAAAATGTATACAAACACCTATCACCTATATATATATATATATATATATATATATATATATATAGGTGTGTATCTATATTTTTTTTTATAAAATCGTGTTTGTTTATATTTTTTTTATAAAAACGCGTTTGAATAATTTTTTATATAATACTTATTTGAATATTTTATAAAATCGTGTTTGTATATATTTTATAAAAACGTATTTGAATAATTTTTTATATAATACGTGTTTGTATATATTTTATAAAATCGTGTTTGTATACATTTGATAAAATGTATACAAACACATATTATATAAAAAACTATTCAAACACGTTTTTATAAAAAAAAATGTAAACAAACACAATTTTATAAAAAAAATATAGATAAAATAGGTGTTTGTATACATTTTTTTTTTGTAAAATACATTTTTGTATACATTTTTTTATAAAAACGGATTTGTATATATTTATATACTTAATAAATACCTGTTTTTATAACTAGATATTTCATATACAAAAAACATTTTTAAAAAAAGTTTTTATATAGAAAATATAAGATTTTTATGTGAAAATACATTTTTTTTGTATAAATATGATTTTATAAAGAGAAAAAACATATTAAAAACAATTCTTTGAGAAAAAAAGTTGTAAAAAAAAAACTAAAGTTAGGATGAATTCATAGTAAAATTCTAAAATTTGGGCAAAAAGGATAAAGTTTGGACCAAATTTGTAACAAAATTTAAAATCTGGGCCAAAAGTGTAAATTTTGGACCAAATTTGTAATAAATTTTGAAATCTGGGCCAAAAATGTATTTTTTGATAGTTGGATGACCTGTTGACCGGGTCAAAAGGTTAAATTGAATATGATTACCGGTATTTGAGACTTAATTGAATAAAAAAATATATAAGGACTAAATCGATTATGAGACCAATATGTAGGGACTTTATTGCAGTTTTCCCTTAATTTTATGTAAAATATGTTTTTTTATGAATTTAAAAAAATATATTTTTGTATAATATGTTATTACGTTGTTATAACCTAAAGTATTCTTTTAACGTCTTTAGTTTCAGATTATAACAACGTAATAACATATTATATGAAACCCGTTTTTTTTAAATACATAAAAAAAAACCATATTTTACATAAAATAAAAATGTAAAAAAACTTATTTTTTACGTGAAGACAAAAAAAACTTATTTTTTATTTTATGAAAACATGAAATAATGTTTTAATTAGGATCATGGCAATTAACAACATACTATACGGAAACTTATATTTTATGTATCTAAAAAATACGTTTTCATATAATATGTTATTACGTTAAAAAAACATATTTTATTAAAATGAATACGTAAAAAAACTTTTTTTTTTCTATGTGAAAGCAATTTTTTTATGAAAACGTAAAAATATGTTTTACGATCATAACAATGTAATAACATATACGAAAACGTATTTTTTTAAGTACATCAAAAAATATTTTACGTAAAACAAATACGTAAAAAAAATAAAAATTGTTTGTAATTTTTTTTACAATACGTTAAAAATATATTTTGTTTTATTAAAAGAGTTCTTCTTCTTCTTCTTCTTTTTCTTTTTTTTTTTTTTTTTTTTTTTGTAAAAATTTGTATTTTTATTATTAATGTATTTACGATTTTAGATAATATTAATTAATTTCCAGAAATATAAAACAAATTTGGATCTAGCCTAGTTGGTTAGGGTTTTGGCTGATGAGAGAGATGGGAGGAGGTCCCAAGTTTGAATTTTTCTCTCTTCATTTTTAGCATTTATTTTATTTTAAGACGAATTACAAAAATGGTCCCCGCGGTTAACAAATGTCACAAATTTAGTCCCTCTTATACTTGAAAAGACGAAAATTTCCTTACAAATTCAGGCTCTAACAACTTGAAATTGACGACGTCAGTAAAAATGACCATCCATGTAAGTTTTGCAAATCACATGGACCATCTACATCAAAAAAAATTAGCAGTGGCTAAGTTTATGACATTTGGTAAACCACATGGACCATTCTTGTTGCAAACCATATGGACCATCTACGTCAAAAAATATTAGCAGAGACTAAGTTTATGACATTTGGTAAACTATAAAGACAATTTTTATACTTTTGTCTTTGAACCATGTCCAGAGAGAAACCATCTTTCAAAAAGAATCAAAGTTACTTTCCTCTCTTATGTCTTTCTTGATTCCTTGATGTGGGCTTGACTTCACTTAATGAATACCGTACCATGCAACCTTGACCTTTACTGAAAATGAAATTCTACAACCGAAAATGAAATTCTACAACTGAAAATGCTTGTCGGAAAACATATCACCAACCTACTACTACTCTAAGCTAACACATCATAAATAAATAATAATCCCTCCATAGGGCGCTGTTGAGCACACTACAAACACATACTTTGTACAACTTCATCTGCGTCACTCTTTTGATTTTTGCCGGAGTTGCAAATGGAAGTCTCGAAGGTTGCCGGAAAACGCAAGTCATTAACTGTACCAAGCGCTCTCACACTCCCCTTTCCTCTCTCCGATAATGCAACTCACTGAAAGCCACATCGGAACTGTATACTACTCGGTTTTAAATGGTGCTGCTGGAGTTTAATGGATACGTCAAGACCACCGGAAGAGACAACCGACCCTCCCTCTCCAACATAAGTCAGTTTATCTTCCTCTATTTCCAACTCTCTCATTTTGGTGTGGCTCACTTAAGAAGAAGGGGACTAAGGTTTGCTAAAGAAAAAGGAATTTGATGCTAGTCATAGTCATAAAACGTGGAAGAAGACACCGATGATCCATCATTGTTAACAGGAGACAAGGATCAAAGTTTCTGAAAACAACAAATTTGGTCCCTGAAGTATGGTCTGATTACACTTCCTACGCCAAACTGAATTTCTTTTACCTAAATGATTTTTAGGAGTTACAATTAAGAGGTGTTTGGCTAAGCTTATTTAAGCCTCTTTTTTAACTTATTATCAGTTCCACACCGGTATAAGTTAAAAAGGATGTTTGGATAGAAATAACTTATCAATGTATCATATCGGAAATAAGTCAAAATCTATAAGTAAGTTCCTCCTAACTTATTAGCTTACAAGTTATAAGCTATAAATTGAAAAATGCTTTTGAAAAGTCGTAAGCTTAGCCAAACACCCCCTTAGACACTTGGACTAATATCCTACTTAAATTAAATAAAATTGATTTATTTTAATTATTATTATTATTATTATTATTATTAATTTAACCATTTACATCTATATAATTCTTTTTATTTAATTAATTCATTTGGCAAACTTACAAAATTTAGTGTTTAATTATATAATTACTCGTTATTATTTATCAACCCTATTTCGAAATCAATAAATGGAAACCGACGTTCTATCAATACAAACGTAATATGAGAATGTTTTCGCTTATTAAGATATGAAAATAGTAAAATGTTAAAGATAATATTGAGATCTACGTTTGTTATATCTAAATATTAATTTTTGACTAAATTGCAAAATTGGTCCTCATGGTTTCGCAAAAAATGTGGATAAGGTCCAAAAAGTTTCCGACTTGCATGAAAGGTCCAAAATCAGAAATTTTCTGTGGATTTGGTCCCTGATGAATTTGAAAAGACTACTTTACCCTTATCATTCATTTTTTACATTTTTTTATTTTAATATTTAATTAATTATAAAAAAATAGAAAATGAAATTTCACCCACCCCTCTCCACCGTACCCCACCTTCTCCCTCCCTCTCTTTTTGACTCTCTTTCCCATCTTCTTCTTCATCACTCTTCTGCAAATCAAAACTCATACACACATATGAACAAAAAACTCAGTTAAACAGAAAACCCAATTGATCCTAGATAAATGGCTTGGATCTGTGTTAACAACCTTCATCCTCTTCATCCCATGTTCTTTAACCTGGAACGAGATGGGTTTTTAATCTGAAGAAGGAGATGTTTTTCAAATTTAGTCTTCATCATTCAGATATGAGTTTCAAAGATATTGGATGTTGCCTCCAAGAACTAGTAATGGATTTGTTGGGTTGTTCATCCATTTTTCAAGTTTGTGTTGAACAAATTAGAGCCCTAATAATATGTCAAGGATGAGTAAATGGATTAGAATCAAATGCATCAATCCTCATATTGCAAAAATTGTATCGTATAGGGAATAACCGAGGTTCGAGAACCCTTCTGCGGCCGTCCTTCCTCGGTATCGATCCAATATGAGAGGATGGGCATAGACTTGTTTCGGTATCTCATCTCACACAACTGGGGAGAGTATTCTTCTTGGCTCGATTCCTCAGTCACACCATTTGCAGTTAGGTATTGAGATGATAGAGAGTGAAGATGGTGATATGTGCATATTAGTGAACAGTGATGAAGATTGTTGATATGTAGATCTGGTAGCTTGGAGAAGAAGATTGTATTTGTGATGTAGGTCTAGTGTGAACTCGATGGTGATATGGGGAAGATGGAACCCAGTTACAAAGCACCAATCTTGATTTTAATCAATTATCCCCTTCTCTTTAATCATTTTTGTTTAGATGGATTTGTTGGAATAGAGGTAAAGGGATAAATGATTTGATGTGTTAGCTCATAGCAATCATAGAAGGTGTGAGGTTTCTTTGATTTGAGGAACATAGGATGAATCTAGGATGAAAGCAAGAACGCAATGTGAGAGAGAGAGAGAGAGAGAGAGAGAGAGAGAGAGAGAGAGAGAGAGAGAGAGAGAGAGAGAGATGGGAGGGGGTCCGATGGATGGCGGGGTGGGTGGGGTGTCTAATTTTTTTATTTTTATTATTAAATTTCAAACTAAAAAGAATTAAAATAAATAAAAAAATGGAAAAAAGAAATTAAAAGGGGTAAAACAGTCATTTCAACTTTTTCAGGGACCAAAACTACAAAAAGTTTTTGATTTTGGACCAACGGTACAAGTTGAAAAGATTTTGGACTCCATCCACATATTTTTGCTAACCACAGGGACCAAATTTGCAGTTTAGTGATTAATTTTGTTTTCATATAACACATCTTTTTTCTTTCTTGTTTTAAGTTTCACACACACCTATCATTTGGCACCCAATATTTATTCCGTGTAAAAGAGAATGATACAAATCATGGTCTTCTCTAGAGAGAATTACTTATAAATACGATACAAATCTTAGGCCCTGTTTGATTTATTGTCCAGTCAAATTTTTTGCTGTCCCGGTCCAATCAGTATGTTACCCGGCCCATATGTTTGATTCGGTCCTAAGAAAAACCTCGACTTGGTCCCTGGAAAATTAAAAACTGACTAGAAAAATAGTAAAATACCCACAATCCCTTTTCTCTCCTTCTCACGTTTTTCTCTCCTTCTCAGCTCTGGAAGTCGACGGCTCCCGCCGTCGACATTTCTCTTGGCGCCGGTTCCTCCCACCTCTCCCACCTCTGACCTCCGTATCGTTGCCTCGATCCAGCGCCACCGCCGTCCTACTCACTTCCGCCACTATTTCACTGCAGCGCCGTCGATTTCCTCCAAATTCCGTTTCCTCCGCCGACGCTTTCACTGCACCATCGTCTTCCTCGTCGATTTTCTTCAAGCTCTGCTTTTTTTTTTGCCCTTCTTGATTTTGAAAAGAAAAGAGAAAGTCAGCCTGATGTATTAAGGTGAGTTTTTTTTTTTAATAAAGATTGGTTATGATTTGTAATTTATAATGTTTGTAGGGCTAGTAAGGTGGCTAAATTTATGACCGATTCTTAACATTCCACCATTGATTGTTCACTGGTGCAGATACTTTGAAGCTCAATTGGAATAAATGATTCATGAAATTAATACTGTGGCTCTCAATGAACACATATTAGTGATAACAAATCAGCCCCTTAACATCACTAATAGTTCCATTAGGTAGTGATATATTGCGACTTGTGAGGCACAAACCATGAAGCCTGGTTTAACGATCTCTGACCAAAAAATGTTAAATATGGTCCATTTATTTGGCATATTTTGTGCAGGGGAAAATGGAAGCCTATGGAGCAATTGTTAGTCAGTAAATCATGAGATTATTACTTTTATTTATTTTTATTTATTTATTTTACATTATGCCATCTTAGAAATCCATCAATAATTCATATATGTTGAAATATTTTGTTGGTAACAGTAGATTCTTAAAAGCATTTGCATAAGAATCACCTGATCATATGCTAAAATCTATCAAGTAGTCACATGATTCCTTGTGCTTTGTTTTCGGGTTTTTGGCACTGTAGCACAACAAAGTTTGGCCAATTTACACATTTAGTCATCTATGTATTTTTTGTGCTTCATATACCATTAAAGTTAAATTTTACCTGTTAAATAGGTGTTCGACCTACAAAACTACCGGTTTCTAGGTAAATATTGCTTAGTTGGCACGGGGAAGTGGAGAAATAGAGTCCACATCATAGCTATATCACTCTCCACCTAGATAATTACTTATATTTATTTTTATTTTGAAATTCAAAATAAATAAAGTTTAATTAACCTAAATATGATTTCACGCCTCCTCTTCTACACTGGTTTCTTCTTCTTCATGTCGCTTCTTCATCTTCTTCATCATCATCAATCTATTCATATTCAACGTATTTCTTCTTCCTCTTCGAACCAACTTTCGAGCAATGTTCCCTAACCAACCTTCAATCAACAATTCACAAGTAACCTTCGAACCAATGATTCAACCTAACGAACTACCATAAAAAATAATAGAAACAACCTTCAAAAGCAAACCACGAGAATGCCAACAGTGGTTTCGACTTCAAATTGTGTTTTTGTTAGCGATTTTCGATTTCATATTTGAGTAATAACCACCTGTGATTACCCTATTCAACATCATCTTCACTTCACGAAGCCATCATTTTCGGACCTCCAACCAAAAATCAAGGAGGTTGAGAGACGCACCTGCAGATCGGTGGGAGTAGTAATGATTTTCGATTAGATAATGATTCAAAATTTTGTTTTTGTTTCCAATTTAAGTTTCGTTTATGAACTTCATGTTTCAGATAAGGGTTCCATACCAAACAACAAATAAACAATGATGATTCAGACTTTTGTTTTGTTCCAAACAGATTTTAGTTTTTGTTTCCAATTTAGGGTTTGTTTCTAAACCTGATTTCTGTAAATTTTTCTGATTAGGAATCAACATATTTTGGATTCGAACTTTTTTTTTCTTTTCAATTATGAGCAGGATTAGAACTTTTTTTTTTCCTTTTTCTAACTATGAATCGGTACTCAAGTACAAGTGAAAAGAAGAAAAACGAAATGGAGCTCTGAAAGGGAATAAACATATTTTGGATTAGAAACTTTTCTGCCAATTTCTTGAGTCGATAGTCTTCTAGCCGATTTGGGAGTTTGGGTTAGGCATGAAACTAATTTCTCTGAATATGGTTAAGTGTTGGATGGTGGTTTTTGAGGAAGATGAATAGTAGTGGAGGTGGGAGGTGGTCGCAGTAGGTTTCTGGTGGAATAAAACGTGTTAATGACTTCATTTAGTACATAATAATAATTAGTTTAAGATTAATGAAAGATATAATTAAATGAAAAAGCTATATGGAGGCCAAGTCAGCAAGATGACCGGCTGACCGCTTCATACATGTTAAAGTGGTGTAATTGACAGCGAATTGTTAAGTTTAATGGTCTATTAAGCACAAAAAATACATAAGTGACTAAATGTGTAAATTGACCGAACTTTGTTGTGCTACAGTGCCAAAAACCCTTTGTTTTCAGCTGAAGATGTTCCTTACCATGCTATGACAAAATACTATACTTTTGATGAAGGTGCATATGGGCTAAAGATGACATGACATGTTGTAAAGAAAGAAAAAAAAGTTCGATGTTGTAATAGAATGAAAAAAAAATGAAGTTCAGTTTTGTATATTGTTATTTTTCTGTGTTTATAAAGAAAAAAAAATATCAAAAGTTCCATGTAATAGATTTCCAATGACACTTCTCGTATGATGAATTTTTTGTTGTGCCAAACATTGGAATTGACTCTAGGCATAAGAGACAACATAAGAGTAATATAGTCATCAAACAACATAGTTTCAATCATATGTGTATTCAGTTAGAAGTTCTAACTCAGTCAACAACCATCAAACTAAGGAGGAACACAAATGAAATATTATTTACATATCAAATAATCCAACATTTCCATAAAAAGGATAAAACTTCTATTAGAAACTCATAGAATGCTATCTATTAAACAATACTCAGAACGCATAATTGGATCTCAAAAATTTTAAACTATTTATAGGAATCCCAACCATTTTACCAGGTAAGATTTATTCATGCTACAATTACAATACCCATAAATGTAATACGCGCGTATGTATGGAAAGGTTACTTCAAAAGGTTATGCAGTAATAATATTATATATATATATATACGAGTTTAATCAAGGGGAGGTTTTCGCCGGTGGGACTGTAGGGAATCCTGGTACCGGAGGTAGTGGAGGTAGTGGAGGTAGTGGAGGCAGAGGAATTGGGAATGCCGGCGGCGGTGGCGGCGGCGGTGATGGAATCAAACCTGGTACAGGTGGAAACGGCAATGGTGGAAACAACGATGATGGTGGTGATGGAACTAGGGGAGGAAACAATGATGGTGGTGGTGATGGAACGAGGGGAGGAAACAATGACGGTGGTGGTGATGGAATGACGGGAGGAATCAATGACGGCGGCGATGGCACAAACGGCAGCGGTGGGAACAGTGGCGGTGGAAATGGGAAACCAAAACTTTTTTGATCGGCCAATCTATCGGATTCCGATGATTTTTGGCGGGTAACAGGTGGAAGTGGAATACCAGGGAGCTGTGGTAGCGGGGGAATTAGAGGTGGCATGGGTACATCCGGCACCGGAAGGGTAGGTAAAATGCCTCCACCGATCGGCGGCAAGAACGGCGCAGGAATATCAGGAAGCGCCGGTGGAAAACCTTTTCCGATAGAATCTTTCTGGTTACACAATTCGGGCTTAAAAGTGAAAAACCCAGCTGAGAAAACATGAGTCCCCGCCTTCTTCGACTTAAAACGAATCTCCGACGAGGTGGCGGTTGCCGCAACCGCACAGTACGGCTGGCCGCTGCTAATCAATCTCACTGAACACCCTTTGATTTTCTCCACACTTCTACCAACTGAAACCGGCAGTTTAGCTTCAAACACACCCTTCTCGTTCGTCTTCACTTCTACCCGGAAACTCTGCTTCCCACCATCGCCGCCGCATTCCACTGCCACCTTCGCACCTAAACAAACAATACAAGTATACAACACCCATTAATAAAAAAAACCCCCCGAGAAAAACCATTATATATATCACAAGATCAACAACAAGAACCTGAAATGAAATGGGTGGATTTGGATACTTTTTGACGGAAGCAAGTGTCACAGTAGACAGTTCCGACGACAATGGCTGGAGAGTGCAGTTGTTTCCGGTGTCTGGCATCCGCGACGCCATTAATGGAGAAACAAAGGAGCACCACCATGAATGAAACCCATGAAGACATTCTGGAAATTGTGTAAGTTCTACTGGTGAAGAAGCAGTTGTTTTTATAGGGGAATTATTCACGAGGGTTTGGATTCATTATGTCAATCATGCAAAAACCAGTATAACTCCAAACCAAACTAGCAGTGAATGAGCTATTCAGCCATAGTAAAAAAACATCGTAACCGCAAAAGAAACAGTTTTGACATAAATTAATATTGGAACTCACGATCTTTAAATTTGATTATTTTCGGTACATTTCTATTTAATATTTTTATTGATAATAATATATTTTTTAAAATTTCTTCTCAGTTATAATTTTTGTAATTTAATTTACCCAAATAGTAAGATATTATAATTTTTCTTTAGTTGATACTAAGTTACTAACTTCCAGATTCTACTATACTATTCTTTTGAATTATTGGATTTAATTCAAGTTTTTCAGTCTCTTGAGTTGACATTTATGTCTTGAAAACATTTAGTGATATTTTTTTGGTAAAAACATATTCGTCGACAAAAGATCAAACTGAATAAAATTTAGACGACATAGTATTAACTGTCATTTAACATTTTTTTTTTATATTACAACAAACAAAATAAAACATAATAACCAAATTTCCTAAGTTTTTTTTCTACAAAATAAGCGAAAATCAGATAAAATTAACTATAATAGCCACAATTTCGCAGACACCATCTATTAAAATCTAGGTTCCTACATTTTTTTTTGGAGATTTTTTCAGTTCACTATTGTGATTGATCAAGATGGGCGGGTGATTGTTATGAAATTTTTATTCGAAATTTATAAAAAAAGAACTTCATATTTTTTCATCGAATAACCTAGATTGAAATTACAAAAGTTTGACTTTCCTTACATCCAAATTAGAAGTATAATATGTTCATTTATTACATTTGTTACAAAGAACACAATAAAAAAATCAACCCAAACGAAGTTCGTATGCAAAATTTATGAATGATCAAAGTTAAGTTTGTTTGTTTTAATTATTATTTTTCATCAAATAGCCTATTTTGAAATTAATAAAGTATGATTTTCCAACATTCAAATTTAAAATGTAATATTGTTAAAACGAACATAATAAAAAACATTTTAGCTCAAAAAAATTTGGATGAAAAAGTTATGAATATTTTAAGCCGGAAAAAAATGATTTTCATAGGTGATTTTTTTTGCCATTTTGTAGAAAAACCTAGAAATTTTGGCTATTATGATTATTTTCTCAATAAAATAAGGTCCTTAAAGCTATTATTAAAATAATAATCCAAATTCTTTAATATTCAAAATTAAGAGGACAAAGGGCGTGTTCAGCACGAAGCGTTTCGGAGCGTTTGAGAGCTTCTAGCTTCTAGCGTTTGACAAAATGTTTCGTTTTGAATAGAAAGTCTCGTTTGACACTACAAACTTCTAGCGTTTAATTTAAACAAAACGCTCCAAATCCAAATGCTACTTCATATAGCGTTTAACAAAACGCTACAAACTACCTGCTACTTGCATATTTTTCAAGTTGTTTTCAAAGTATTTGACTTATTCTTTCGTTAATCAATCTTTTAATCTTATCTATTTGATCATTAACAACCTTTTTATTTTTGGAGTTTCACTATTTTCGTAGCATGGGTTGAACTTTTAATCTTATCTATTTAATCATTAACAACCTTTTTATTTTTGGAGTTTCACTATTTTGGTAGCATGGGTTGAAGCTAGCCACTTTAATAATCAATTATTTTGTTGGTATATTGGTTGGGAATGTGAGTAGCTCCAAAGTAGGCAAATGCGACCCAAATCGTTCACGGGAGTGTTACGTTGGCCACAGATTCCATGAGGGTTGTCAGGCTAAGGATTGTATCATGGCTATCATTTGAACATTCTTGGATAAAAGAAATTATTCATCATACTTCTATCTCGACACGTGTCAATTACAAGACTTAATACGTGAAGTACAAATGTTAATGCTTGATACTAAATTTTGTAGCATGAAGGACAAAGGGATTAATTTGAAACGGGGATATGGTGAAGAGTTCACTGTTCACATGCATCGCTTTTACGTAAATGGTTGTGTTCGTTGTAGCATGTCGGTCTTGCTACTTATGTATGTACTTAATGCAGTAGGTATAGTACATGAGAAAACTAGGTATAGTACATGAGAAAACTGATAGAAATTTTTTCATGATAGTTCGTTAACTCACTTGATTTATTTTTTCATAGGCATGGGTTTAAATTTTTAATCCACACGATTGAACTGGTTGGGAATTCTTTTAGGAATGTGGAACATATAAAATATTAAAGTTTTAGTAACTACTATAACATCCGTTTTCCAGATCAGACTAGTTAAAGATTTAAGGAGGCCAAAGATTAGGTTTTTGGAAAAAAAACATATGTCACGACGTGGTTGGTTGAAGACCACGACGTGGAATGAGACTAAAGTGACACGTGTGTCCTGATGGACACCACAACATAGCAACTGATGCAGGCCAAGCCTACGATTTCTAGGGTTTCCTCCATATTTAAGGACCTTAACTTTAGGGTTAGGTCATTCTCTTCAGCATCCACCCTCCTATCTCGAAAACCCTAGCCTCGTTTGAGCGTTCTTGATGTGTTCTTGGAGTTCTTGGAGTTTGAAGCCTTGGATTGCACCTTGAGAAGAAAAAAAATGTGTGATACCAATCTGTTACACCCCCAAACCAGACGGCGGAAACGTCCGGGGGTGGATGACTTCATTTGTAGTATCACAACACATGCATTATAGTAATCAAAGTACAAACAACCATTGCATTAATATGTAGCTAATTGGAAGAGTGTATCTACTTCAGATCTTGCATCTCGTGCATCTTGTGGAGCTTCGGAAGGCATAAAGCTTCCACCTTTATCATTCTATTCTCTTATTTCATGACTTGAAGTACTTTGAAGGAATGTTCTTGGAGTTTTGGCAACTCTAGAACCTTACGCTTGTTTGGTGACCATCTTTTGGCCTTATTTGATGGAAAAAGTGTTAAGTCATGGTCCCATTTGTTCAATGCACAAGTTTTGGTCATATTAAGGACTTACTGACTTAGGGTTTAAGATCTTGACTTGTGGTAAGGTCCTAATGGATAAAGTTGGAAACTTTATCTATTAAATTACTAAGAAGAGTCATATCTGGAAGTTTGAGCCTTGATCTGTAAGGTTTGAGAATGAATTTTAGCAGTAACCACGACGTAGACAAGAGGTAATCAAGTCATGGTGGGGTTCAGCCTCGCGACTCTACACAACCAAGAGGTGGCTGTTGACCTTGGTTGACCGTGGACTTTTGTTGACCATTGAACGTTGACTTTTGACCAGTTTGGCCTTAAGTTAAACTTGAAGGAATTGGGTTCTTAATTGAAGATTGATCTTTATTTGGTTTTAGTTGGTTCATAGGATTGGTCAGTGCAAGGAATGAGAGCGTTGTTGTGCTTCTCCGATTCTTCGGTTCATGTGAGTTTCTCACTATGCCACGTATCCCACTGTATATCCTTTGCATGGTAGGATAGAGGTACTGTTAGAGTACAGTATGCTAGTTGTCTAGGATAACTCCTTGTTATGCATGTGTAGTTTAGGACACTTGGTGTCATGGTATGCTAGACCGGTAGGGTCTTGCCTGTTGTTCGTATGATACTGTTAGGAGTTATTTTTGGCTAGGGTAACTAGGAAAGGCTAGTTACCAGGATTTGTATAACTGACTAGCGAAGGACTTATTAGAGAAGTGGTTAATTGTAGGGTAATTAGAGAGGACTAATTACCAAGGGTATGTAGTATGCTAATATATGTTATGTGTTCATGTTACATGTGTAACATCCCAAAACCATAGTAAAAATTTTCATTTTTGGAATAGAATAAACATCCATTTTTATAAAGTTACATTAATAGTCAAACCATTTGTTCATAAATCATAATTCAAAATCAGAGTTATAAGGAAAACATTGCAGAATCTCGAATCATAAAACCGTTGATGTGCGTGTGTACAATCTCGCCTTCAAAATCTGATAAGTACCTGAAAAACATTTGAATCCACAACTATAAGCCAAAGCTTACTGAGTTCGCCCAAAATACCTCATACAACAATACACATACAATGCATGCACACATGAGCCTACAGTCTGCCTGGACCGCCTCGTAAGGTCAACAGGATGCCTGGACTGCTCTACCGAGCCTACAATCTACTGGCCCACCTAGCAAGGCCTATAATAACTGGACTGCTCCCTTGGGCCTACAGTCTGACTGGACCGCCTTGCAAGGCCTACAGTACACTGGACTGTTCGAGTATCTTGACCTACAACACAAAGCAGGACCGCCTCAACCCCACTAACCACAATATGTAGACATATGCACATAAACAAATAAATAGATAATAGTCAACAATACAAGTAATCATAATAGATATACCAATCAAACAAATCACTACAACATACTAACACTCTACACACAAGGAAACATACTGTAGTAAAAAGTATAGTGAGAAAACTCACCTGAGCTATCTAGCAGAAGCTCAACAGCAAACCTCAACAATCTGAACAACTAACACAAGCTACCTAATGTGAAACCGAGACTAGATCTTAGATAAACACTCAATTCTACCAAGGTTAGACCAAAAGTCAAACTGTTCAAAAAGTCAATGATCAACGGTCAAAGTCAACACCCCAAAAGACAACTTGCTGACCATGTCGTGGCCCATCATTTGCCACGACGTGGCAATCTCAGGACAAAACAGTTACGAGAACTTCATATGTCACGACATGGTGAGCATATAGCCACGTCGTGCAAATTGATCTTGGACAACTTAATGGATTAATCCCTTAATCAATTAAGCCACACACTCATCTTTAAAAGATCTTGTATGCTCAAGAATCATATTAAAATGATATTGCTAATTAACATATGATACTAATGGGTCACACTAACAATAACTTGATACAATTTATTATTTATTAGAAATTGATTTTAATAAATATTCAATAAACTCTTATAATTAATTGAAAATTATTTATTTCTTGGAAATAATAATTTTTTATTAGCAACTAACATAATATATCATATGTTATGATTTATTAAGT